CAAAGTATAAACCATACAGGTGTTCAAAGAGTTTTGTATTTTATAGCAAATAGCTATATCTATAAGCATGAATATGAGCAAAACCATCTGTGATGTTTCTTTTTCATGAGAAACTGAATTTTACAGGCAATTTATTTCTGTGTTAACTTTTTATTGAAAGTAAATATTTTTTAATCAATAACTCTTTGTCTAAATACTTTAAATGAGAAATACTATGAGAATAATAAAGTCCACCTGTAAACACTTTGTATATGAGAATTTTGTTTTTAGAAAATGAATCATTGTGTACACAATTTTTGGATACATTTTCTCAAGATATCACTAACGCTGGTAAGTCACTTTATTTTAAGAGTTTCTCATATTATTTCTGAATGATCTTTTTTTTTGATATAACAAACAAATTATGGCACAATGTTTTTCAATCGATTTAAAAAAATGTATTTCCAGAAAATGATGCAGAAGTTGGCCAACAGGAAATTAACAAAAACATAGTTCTTCATGATCAAGCTGTGAATACAAACAGCGATTGTCATTCTCTACTTTCTGAGGAGAGACCACACATACGAATTCCAACAGGTAATTTGAATTGACCAATGATTAATATTTATTTAATTAAGTATCGTGCATTTCAATAAGGACGCCATACATTTACTACATATAATTGCTTTCTGCCAATTTTGCCCAAATTTCAAAGTGTTGTAGATTCTGGCATCCCCATTGATCCTATGTCCAGTTTTCGAACTACATGGTGTAAAAAAATTCAATTTTTGCTATTTGTGAATTATATATATTTATTTGATATTTGTGCTATCATTCAAAATTCGACTTTCCTAGAAATGAACTCATCACATTGAATATGTAGCTCAGGAATCCCTTTTGAAAAAAAATAATATCTCTCTAAGTGTGTTCAATTACAGCAGGGCAAGACAATGTTCATAGAAATAGATGAATATCAATACCATAATCATATTGATTTTAAAAACTGGAGTGGCTTGTGGAATAATCTATTTCATCACCCTCCTCATGTCAAGCCACCCCCATCATCTATCTCCCCCTGAAATACAGCCACCCGCATACTTTCAATAAAAATCTCTACTTGAACAGTTGGTAAAAAACAGTAGAGATTTGTATTTATAGAATTTGAATGTGGGTGGCTGTAAATCAGGGGGGTGATGGGGGTGGCTGGAAATAAGGAAAGATGATGGGGGTGGCTGGAAATAAGGAAAGATGATGGGGGTGGCTGTAAATAAGGGGAGATGATGGGGGTGACTGTAAATAAGGGGAGATGATGGGGGTGGCTGTAAATAAGGGGAGATGATGGGGGTGACTGTAAATAAGGGGAGATGATGGGGGTGGCTGTAAATAAGGGGAGATGATGGGGAGGATTATTCCATTTGTGATACACTGTTTGGAACCTTTCGTCACCGTACATAAGTAAACAGAAGTAAATTCACTTTTTTTGCTGGCATGTAGTGGGGCAGGAGGGTGTAGACTAAGAGCGGTTGTGCACTTCTGCACGAGGTTCGATCAAAAAATATGTGACTATGATCTGACTTCATCATTGCTACAAGGAGCTCCCAATAAATGTATCATATGATTATGAACTGTTTAGGAATTCATAAAAAATAAGGCAAGGTGGTGAAATAAACGTATATTTTATATAGTGATATTATAAAATTCAGGTCAAAAACTTATGCTAATATATTTTAAAGGTTTTTCAGAAAGTTTTGAATCGTTTTTCTGAAATATTTTTTTTTATATTATTGGGTTGATTTTTGTAAATCAGAACTTCAGTATAAAATACATATTTCTTAATTTTGGGTTGCCTAGTTTGCTAATTATGAAGTGTGTCAATCGAATGAAATTCTACGTTATTGATGACAGAATCTAAGAAAAGACATATTTGCTATTTATAGTAGATTATCTGGAACATATAAATAGAAAGTAGGCTCCAAAAAAGGTTATTTGAATATACATTTGACACTTGGGTTTTGCAAAAATTTATTTCAGTGGAAGTAATTGTTCTCCTACAGATAGAAATCAAAACTTGATGTGGTTCAACAATTATTTTCCTTTGTGGATTTCCAGTGGAACTAGAGGCATATACTGTTCGTAAAGTTCAATTTCATCAAATTAAATTCATAATAAAAAGTTTGCATATTAACGACTCCACTATATATGGCCTATAACAATTTATTTTTTGATTTACCTTATATGTTCATTACTCTAATCTTACATAATAAATAATGAAAAACTTACCATTTTTCGTCAATTGGAAATCGAAAAAAATGAATCCTGACATCGCCCTGCAAATTACAGCAACCCACAGCTCGACACTTCTTTATTTTGAAACTAGACACAAATTTTCCACAAATACAAAACCACCACTTAAACGACTCACTCTGTAATAATATTCCATGCCTTAATTTGGCTCGCTTGGTAAACGCCTCAGATTTAGTCGGTTGCGCTGAAGTTCGGCCGCGCATAAAATTCGAGGTGGGGAATCTTGACCCAAATATGGCGAAGAGTGAATTTACTGGTGTTTACTTCTATAAGGTGCTTTGGTGTAGTAATGAATATTACTGGAGTTCTATCCCAACACCAAACAGTTATTTTTAACCCCTCGAAACATGTTTCAATCACCAATTGATCATCTTCAACATACAATGTTGTCCTTATTTATACCAAAGATACCTCTGCTAGGTAACTGCGCCTCAATTGTCTTAAAATTAATTCACAATATTGCCTTATCTACTTCAGTCAGGTAAATCGGATAACTTAAAAATTAATTCAACAAGCTATATAGTAAACTATTCGTTATTGATAATATTATTATGCTTATTTCTAAGCTCTCATATGCATCTAGATGCCTGTTGTTAACTTGTCTAACTAATCTTAATAATTGAGAAATAGCCTTTTGTAAATTCTCGCACATATATTGAATTTTTGTTATTCGTTATAAGCACATTCACTTTGAATAACATGTATCTATATGTTATTTCCTTTTTTGTGTAATTGGGGTTTCCCGCAAATAAATAAATAATGAAAATATTTTTAGTCATCATATTTACCTGACTGGTAGATAAGGCAATATTGTGAAATTGATTTTGAAGCAATTGAGACGCAGGTATCTAGCAGAGGTTCTTTGGTATAAATAAGGACTTGGTGACTAAAACATGAGTCGAGATGTTAGCAATCTCCTATTTCTGAAGAGGCTCATAACTTGACGGTTACAACAGGTAATTTAAGTTGCATAGATACCAATATGAATTGCATATATGGATTTGAGTATCAAACGTAGATCCAAATATTCATTCAACATTTTTGGGTAACAAATCACAAAATCACTTAAATTTCAGCTGATAGCATTCGAAATGAACAGGTTGATGATGTACTTATTTTAAATTGGGATTCCTCTGGAGTAAAAGACAGTTCGTCAGGACTTGAACTAACTCGGAATAACTATGATCTCAACGTAGAAGTTCAAGAAGCATGGGATGTTCTTACCGAGCACCAACCAGAGCCAGGTTAATTCTTCAATTAAGTCAAACATATATTATATCAGAAACTATATCGAATGATACATATTAAAAAAATGTTCTCCTGTTCCTAAAAAAGTGTATTTTGATACATTGACAAAACCGTCAACACGGAACTAGTAAAAATAATTCAAACAAGGCAGAGCTAGAAAAATAATTATAAGACATTTTGAATAATGTATCATTCGACACCCCTTGCTATTTAAAATCTTAAAGTTGATAGTGTCCATAGTGCCATCATTGGAAAATCACGCTACATTTATCTGTCTGGTAGATTTAATATTATTCAATCTCTTTTTGTTTTCATAGTTAACAACAAGGGAAACTGATAAGTTTTGAAATATACGTCGATAACAAAGGAAGATGATAATTTCTACATAAACTGGAGTTTTATCCCAACACTAAAACTTCATTTTCAACACATCCGATATATGTTTCATTTAACAAGTGATTATCTTCAAGAAAAAGATCAGAATAAATTTACATAAAGAGTTGCCCTTATTTACCATTAGATGCCTCTGCTAGGTACCTGCTTTTCGATGAGCTTAAATTGATAATATTGCCTCATCTACTAATTAGATACATCTACTAAAAATTAGGTAGTGATAACTAACAATAATTATTTTATCAAGCTATATAGTAAAATATTATTATATTTACTTATTTCTATGCTTTCCTAGGCATGCCTGTTTATGGTCACTTGGTGATTGAAACATGTGTTGAGGTGTTAAAAATAACTGTTTGGTGTTGGGATAAAACTCCAGTATATTCATTACTACACCAAAGGTTCCAAACAGTGTGTTATAAGTAAATAATTTCTGCAACAACTGTTCATATTATTTAGTCCATATTTTCAAATGATGAATATTTTTGAAGTTTTCATGATTTGATAGTGTTGAATCCTCAATTGAACAACAATCCTTAGCATTTTTAATTGTAAATAACTTATATTTTAGGTAAGGAAAAAAGTAAAGCTCCTCAGAAGAAGCATTGCTGTTGCTTTTGTCAAAAACGTTTGTTCAAAGTTTACCGCCATTACACTGAAGTACACAAGACTGAAAGAGAGGTGAGAGAGATAATAAATCTTCCAAAAAAGTCAGCTTATAGAAGATCTCTTCTGGACAAACTCAGGAAAAAGGGAGATCATTTATTTAATACTCAAATAAAAGATAAATACCAAAATGACATTGTTTGTAAGGAAACAATTCAACAAACGAAGGTTAAAAGAGAACGAAATGTTCCATGTCCAAGTTGTTTGGGGTACTATAGTAAATTTAGTATAAGACATCATTTGGAAAAATGTATGCCAGTGAAAGAAAAAAAGACTAGGAGAAATAATATACAAGCTCAATGCAGGAAGTTTGAAAATAAATTACACCCTAAAGCTTCTACGGTGTTGAGAGGAAATATTTTTCCAGTATTAAATGAAGATGATGTTACTGATGCGATCAGGTATGATGACCTGGTTATTACATATGCAAATTATTTATGTAGAAAATACACAGCAGAACATCATAGTCAACAAATAAGATCCAATATGAGAGCAATTGGGAGGTTGATTTTAGCTATGAGAGAAATCAATCCTCAAATAAACAACCTTACTGATGCATTTGATCCTTCTAAAGTTGATTTAATAATAGAAGGAATTGAAAGAGTTGCAGGATTGGATGAAATTTCAAACCTATACAGGTCTCCTGCTACTGCTATGTTGTTAACCACTGAATTGAAAAAAATATGTAAATTAATGGAAATGGAATTCATTAAAAAACAGGATGATACTGGCAAGAAAAGAATGGAGAACTTATATTTGCTTTTTAATCTAGAATTCCAAGTGGCTGTCAATAAGAAAGGACTAGAAACACAAAAAAATAATTTCAGAAGGAAAAAATGTGATTTGCCCAAAACAGAACAGATTGCGAAATTCCGAATATATTTGGAATATAAAATACTACATTACACAACTAGGATGAGTCAGAACTATTCCTTCAAAGACTGGACCCACTTGACGGAGTATTCTCTAGTACACCTGGCAATATTCAATAGGAAGAGGCCTGGGGAAACTCAGCGCCTTTTAATAGACGATTATATAAATTATGAAGTGATTGACAATGAAGATTCATCAAATGAAATGGACAATTTATCTAGAGAACAAATTAAAAAATGGGCCAGAATAAAATTTACAGGAAAATTAGGGAAAAATACTGCTCTTCTCATTCATCGAGATCTCGGCTTTAAAGCAATCGATTTGATCCTAAAATACAGGGAGAAAGCTGGTGTCAGTCCTCAAAACAAATTTGTTTTTGGAGATCCATCTCGATCTAACACTCAAAGTACCTTTCAGGCATGTAACTTGATAAGGAAATTTTCCATAGAGTCTGGTATTGAGAATCCAGAATTATTAAGGACCAGACTATTGAGGCAGCATTTAGCAACAGAAACGGCTCGCTCTCAGGTAGAGTCTCGTCTAGAAGGGAGGGTTTCAGACTTTATGTCTCATAAAAGACATATACATGAAGATTATTATGTCTTGACCCAAAAAACAGATGACATAACTAAAGTTTCAGCATTACTAGAAGAATTTTCATCAGTAAAAGATGTGGTAAAGAAATCAAAGGCTGAAAATTCGATGAAAATACTAAAATCATTGTCTGTTCAGATTACACCGATACCAGCAATAAAAAAAACAGCATTATCAAATAAAGTTGAAGCTAGTCCTACTTCTTCATCCGATGAAGAATACTGCCCAGAGGAAGATGATATAAGTCCTTCAGAATTTAAATATGTTATGGGTGAGTACCTACATTCATTGAATATAGCTTTATTTTGCTAGCCACTTCCATATACTCAAGGAAACTTGCTCTTAACTTTCGAGTTTAAATTATCAAATTTTCATATCAGTAACTTTAAATTTCTGGTGTTTTAAGATTGCCTTATATATTGAAGGGGTTGTAACTTTTGAATATTCTGCTGTACGTTCCTTCCATCTTGTACATGATACAGTTATGATGAACTTAATGAAGGTTTAGCCTTATACATATTGATAGCTTGAAACTATTTCAGGCAAAAAGCAGAAACGTCATCCTTGGACATCCGCCGAAAAGAATAAAGCAAGAGAATACTTTTACGATAATATTTATAAGGAGATGGAGGTTACAAAACAAAAAGCAAAATGTTTTTTTCTATCAAATCAAGAATTGTACAAACATCGATCTGCACATTTAATCATGCAGTGGGTTAAATGTGAACAAAAAAAAGTATTGGCTTCTCAATCAGGATTGATGGGTAAACATGTATTTTTCAATAAAGAACTGTATTTTTTATTATACCTGCATTTCAAATGTTCTGCTTGGCGTGCGCAGTCTGAGATTAAAACACGCTGTGCTAGAAAGCTTGATGCTAGGTAACTACGTCAACTTTTCAGTTTTATCATTTGAGATATCAAATAAGACTTCATGTCAACAGTTCATAACAGCCGGTTGTGCTATAGTTGGGACATTATCCCGTTCTAAAATTAATTTTCAGCATTTTTTTCAAGTCATGATGCAGGTATTATAAAAAACAGCATATGATACAAGTGTACAAGTGCCTTTTAAGCACTCGCAACGTTCCAAGGCACTCCGCACTGGCTGCACTTGTTTTGAGGGCTCACTTGTGCACTTGTATCATAATAAACCATTCATGTTACAGCAATGTATAATCACATAATGTGAAATTATTCATCAGTGAGACAATGTGCTCTCATGCGGGATAATACGCTCAAACGTGACTAATGGTTGGCAGCTTGTTCTTGTCTAAGTAATAATACCTACCTGTCAATAACACATAAAAACCTGTCTGTAGACTTCTTCGAACTTCTTTCAGAAAAATGTCATTATATTACTGGTGGTTCAAAATTCTTCATACACAAATGATTTTGCACCTTTCTCAATCATAATTATATTAGTGGTGGTTCAAAATTCTCACTCACAAATGATTTTGCATCAGATTCAATCATAATTAACTATTAACGATAGTCGTTGAAGTAGTAATATAATACTCACAGATTCACTACATGAAATAATAAAAACCAATAAGCAAGCTGTGATTAGATGACCATACTGTCAATCATTACAAATGATGTGTAATGGGTGAAACATTATAACTATTTCAAGAATCTTTGAAATAATCATTTTGAAATGTTGGTATTCGATATACTTATCGCTAACCGTTTTTGAGAAATGAATTTTTCTCATATTTTCTGTCTAAATCTGACTTGCAAAATGCGTTTTCTTCAGAATGCATACAATTAACTCTTAAGCTACAGAAGGCTGTGACGTATTATGTTTATAGCCACAATTAAATTTGAGCATGACACAAAATTTTTCAAATGAAGCACTGCATAAAAGTATAGAAAAAAATTAGCGCATCATAGTATTTGCAAGGCGATTCGATGTGCTAGATAGATGGCATTTAGCTAGCACCAGCATTGGAGAGTTCCTGCGACTCCTCTGAACCACTGCTTCCTACTACTTTCTGCTCCGCTATTCAGAGTCAATCACCAAATGTCTAGTGGTTCCACTGACTAGTGGAGTCTCAGTCCACCCGTCATAATATGTACTGATTGACTGTCTCGCACATCGAATCGCATGTCAAACGCTATGATGCGCCAAATTTTTCCATACTAGTATTATTGAATATATGCAAATATGTGAAATACTCCATATTTGCCAATCTTTACTTTCCCCATACTTGCCTCCTATATAATATTTTTCATTAATTTGGATTTCAGTTTTGTATGTGACACAAAATTCACATTACTCAAGTATGGTTTCTATCAATCAACTCACCATTTATGGAATTGAATTTGGTGATCAATGAATTGGTCCACGGAACTGGAATCCGATCTAACCTGATCTTGTATATGTGTGGTACAGTTTGACAGAATTCAGAAAGTTTACAGGACACTGATGAACACAAGATAGGTGTTAAAACACAGTAGCTCAAGTGTACGAGGCTTCAGACCTCACAAGCCTAACTATATCTACAAAATGAAAGTATGGCAGACACATTTTGGGTTGCTTTCTGAATAATCACTGATATAAATATTTATATATCTACATTGAGAACTGAAGATAACTTTCAACCCACATATTTATGAACTTAAAAATATCTGTAACCAAAATAAATGATTTTTTATCATTTCACTGGACCTTCATTCTTCGAAATTTCTATGATGAGAACAACATTAATGCTAATAAAATACAATTTATATCTTAACTATGGGAGTTCAGCTAGTGTTTAATTTCAACAAATTTTTCACTAAACACTTTGTTAAATGAAGAATTTTTTATTTCATATACAAAATGCAAATTTTTTTTATTTTAAACCAACTTTTGGCCATCTATCAATATTATGGATTACATTTCAGGGCAGCGTTTAAGATGGAGTACTCCTGAAAAAGAAGTTCTGAGAACCAGCAGTGTGAGAACCAGCAGTGAGAGACATTCTGAAAATGGGACGATCCCAAGCATTTCTGAATGCGAATTGTTATTTGAAGACAACAAAGATATTTTGAAAAACAGGACTCCAAGGCTTTTCTCTACACAAACATCAAGAAACAAAACGTTCGCTCGCAAAGCTTTTAGTTAGTGCTTTTATTACATTTGTGAAATAAAGCTTTAAGATTGGCATATCCTTATTTTACACAAACAAAACTTTACAATTAGTGACCCTCAGCATTCGAGGCTGCAATCTTTACTAAGTAAAATAATATTATCATCGTGAAATTTCAGGTGAAGAAATTTCTACTAGAAAGAAAGGGCGCCAAACAGAACTGAAAAAATTCAAAGAATTACAGTGTTCATCATATCGCATGTTCTATATATTGTAGATTCACCAAAAATGTATCTGTGAATAAGTTGAAGGACTACCTTCAACTTATTTCGGCTAGTTTATATAAAACTAGAGCTGTGTTTTGACGTACCACTTGTTTCAAATAATTTGGTCTGTAAGCTATAGCTCAATTATACAGTGAGAACCAAAAGTCCGTCCATTCCCCCCAGTAACTTTTTATTTAACATATAAAAAAAGTTGAATACATAAGTTGTAGGGGTTTCATTCAGTCTCTTTGATGGTTTGAGTTTCATTTATACAGAGTGTTTCAAGAAAGCGCAGCGACCTAAAGTTTAATTTTTTTGAATGGGATACCCTGTATATTAATACATGATCGATTAAGAATGAGCATATGGAATTCAGCGATACCACGTTTGATGCTGTTATTTTCATAGAATACGAATATACCACCAATCATTTTATCCATAAGCCCCATGGGTTCGACAGTTTTTTTGTCACGGCAATAAATTCTCTTTCACACCTATTGGGCTCAAGGATAAAATAATTCGCGATACCTTCGTAGTATCACTGTATTCTTTATGAACATCACTAACCGACTATATAATAATATACAGGGTATCCTATTAAAAAAATAAACCTTTAGGTCGCTGCGCTTTTTTGAGAGACTCTGTATAAATGGAACTTGAATAATTAAACAGATCGAATAAAATCCTATAACTAAGGTATTCAAAGTTTTTTGTAATATGTTGAATAAAAAAGTTACGGGGGGAGGCGACGGACTTTTGGTCCTCACTGTAGATATCAAAGCTGTCCTTTGTTTCTGTTAGCGATTTGTTTATTGTTTTGGGTAGGATTTATTTTCAATTTCAGATTTTTTTTTTCGGGTGTTATAGTTGAGAGTTGTAACTAAAAATTAAAAATATATCAAGTGGCTATTGATGTATTGACATTTGTTGAAGACACCGTTTTAAAACTAAATAGTTTTCGCAATCGTCAAATCTATAGACGCGTCCCCATTTGCAACAAATCCTCGAACCGAACGCCGTCGCGAACAACATCGCGTTTATGTGTAGACGTGACAATGAATCCCACGATGCAACAAATCCGCGAAAATTGCAAAATCATTTTCGTCGGTTGTGTACGGTCATTTCAAAGGGAATGTTGCGGGATATTGTTCGCTGCGTTGTTGCAAGTATATGATTGTTTTGGCAGTTTTGTCTCTTTTCAGAAGAATAATTAGTTCGGTTTGCACTGAACACGGATTGATATATGTAGTTTCTATGTCAACTCATAAAAAAAGAAGTAATAACTGATTAAAAAATCGGAACGCTTTCATGTTCGCGACGTTGTGCGGTTTACCATGGAGTTTTCTTTTTCCAAAAATATCTCTTGTTCGCGGCGCTGTTCACGGCAATGTTCGCGACATCATTCTGTTCAAGTGTTTGTTGCAAGCGGGGATGCGCTTTGAAACATCATCGAATGCGGTTTGACGACAAAAAACAGCTTTAGTAAAGTCTTATATCACGGCCCAAGGCTGGCTCTCTCCGCACCTGTCAAAGAGTAAATGATAGAAATAACGCCGTGTCTTGTTTACCAACTCTGATGGATCAGTCCCTAAAAAACTACTAATGTCGTCTTTTGATATGATGTTGTTATTCGGGGATTGGACATAGATCCAGATGAGTAGAACTAGATGTTCTATATTTGGTTCCATTAGTTCATCAGCTAATTGCAATGTCAAATACAAAATATATTTGTTATTTCGAAAACTACAAGTCCTGGAGCCCTGGGACGTCATGAGCATGCGCAGTTGAAAAAAAGTGAAGGAACAAACCTACATGCTGCGTTTTGTTGCCAACCCGAAAAGTAAGTAAATAGGTTAGGTATACAAGAAAACGGAAATATTTACGAAAGTTCCAGTTTCGGATCAAAGTAGTGTTCTCTTTATTCTCGACGCCATAAATTGACATATTGTGTTTTCCCTCCCTCGAAATCCATCGAGTAACTAAAGTGAACAACTATTGAAATTATTGGCGCGAATCAACACATTTACTACATATAATTGCTTTTTGCCAATTCTGCTCAAATTTTGATGTGTTGTAGATTCTGGCATCCCCATCGATCCTATGTTCAGTTTTCGAACTACAGGGTATCAAAAAATTCCATTTTTGCATTATATCTATTTATTTGATTTTTGTGCTCGCATTCAAAATTTGACTTTCCTGGAAGTGAATTCATCACATTGAATTTGTAGCTCAGGAATCCCTTTTGAAAAAAAAATAATATCTAGATGAATATCAATACCATAATCATTTTGATTTTAACCCGGTTATGCCTACTGCCCTTCCATAAGGACATACATAAACGAGAGTTCTGAAATGCATTTCGGCTAAGTTTGAGTGAGTGTTCTTAGATGGTGCCAATTGAATTCGATATTCTGATGTATTTTTCATAATAATACAGGCACAGTTAGCAGTAAACAGGTTATTTCGCGTATGAACGAGTCATACAATTTATGATGGACACACCACTCGACTTCAAGTTGGTTGGGTGAGGATATGTTGTTTACTCCATCCATACAAATTAGCTCTTTTCGTTATATTTTCTTATAATAACATATTGTTCATTGAATAATGATATGAAATATCGAGATATTCGTATTTTGTATTTATAGAGGCAACATTTCTCAGAGTTCTTTCAGAAGGACAGTAGGCAAATAAACGTTTTTTTTTTATAGAGGCCTCGCTCTGCACGAACTATTGCAATCCCTCGAAGACAGTGATGACGACGGCCACAATGAACTAGCACTAACAGTCTTTCCTCCAACGAATTCTTGTGAGCCAGTTACGAATGAAGACTCAGGTGATGAAGATGATGTGAATATAAATAATATTTCCGGATCACAGCTGCGAGCAGAAGCTGAAATTTTTTATGACGATTCGGAAGTCACTAATCGATGGAATATTCTCAAGAGAATTCCGGTGCCGTACAATGATCTTGATGACACAGATAGCAAAGATAATATTCCATTGATAGAGTTGAGAGGTCGAATAAAGAAAAGGAAAATTGAAGTGAAAGTAAAGTGAAAAGTAAAGTGAAAATTGGTGCATGTTCAGTTTTAGGGGATGCACAAACTTTTATCAAGAAAAACCCTTGATAAAGAAGTTTCCCATATGGTGAATACTTTGGGGATTACACTGTACGTAGATTTAGTTTAATCTTCCTCTTGAAGATGATCACTTGGTGATTGAAACATCTGTCGAGATGTTGCCAGATGGTGAAATGAAGACAAAAGCCCAATTTGCTTTCTCACTTTTAAGTACTTGAATATTTGTTTTGAAGAAAAAGGTTGAAATGCTAAGTTGTAAATGCAGCGTTTTATAGAGTTTTCATAACAAATACATGATTTTCGTCAGGAGGAGAATTTCCCATTAATCCAATGACTGTGTATTCAAAAATATGAAAATTGTAATGGGCACTGCCTAATATGAAAGTTTTACCTACATTACGATAATGAATTTTCATTGACAAAAAATAATGAAGATGTGAATAAAATTATTGTAATTGATGATCAATTAGTAAATTCAGAATTGAACCTGAAATCTCCGATTCCTGAAGAGGGTCATCACTCGCCGGTTTCAACAGGTAATTTGAGTTGCCTAGATACCAATGTATTGCACATATGGATTTGGGTATCAAATTTAAATCCAAATTTGCATTTAACATTTTAGGTTAACAAATTATCAAATTTTGACTTCAATTTCAGACGTTACCAGTGAAATTGGAAAGATTAATGATAATGAATTTTTATTTACAAAAAATAATGAACAACATGGAAATAAAATTATTGTAATTGATGATCAATTAGTAAATTTAGAATTGGATGTGCAATCTCCAATTTCTGAAGAGGTTCATCACTTGACGGTTGCAACAGGTAATTTGAGTTGCATAGATACCAATATTAATTACATATATGGATTTGAATATCAAACTTAGATCCAAATATTAAATCAACATTTTTGGGTAATAAATCACAAAATTACTTAGATTTAGATGTTAGCATTCGAAATGAACAGGTTGATGATGTATTTATTTTAAATTGGAATTCCTCTGGAGTAAAAGACAGTTCGCCAGTACTTGAACTAACTCGGAATAACTATGATCTCAATGTAGAAAGAAGTTCAAGAAGGATGGGATGTTCTTACAGAGTACCAGTCAGAGCCAGGTTAATTTTTCAATTAAGTAAAACATATATATCAGAAACCATATCGAATGAATCATATTAAAAAAATGTTCTCCTGCACATCTTTGACAATGAAAGAGTGTATTTTGATACATTGACAAAATCATCAACATTGAACTAGTAAAAATAATTCAATCAAGGCAGAGTTGGAAAAATAATTATAAGACATTTTGAATAACGTATCATTCGACGCCCCTTGATTTTTAAAATCTCAAAAATGATAGTGTCCATAGCGCCATCATTAGAAATTCACGCTACATTTATATGTCTGGTAGATTCAATATTATTCAATCTTATGATGCACTGTTAGGAACTTTTGGTGTAGTAATGGATATTACTGGAGTTTTTTTTTCTTCCCAACACCAAATCGTTATTTTGACACCTCGACACGTGTTTCGATCACCAAGTGATCATCTTCGACTCGACTCATGTCGAAGTGTTAAAAATAATGATTTGGTGTTGGGAAAAAACTCCAGTAATGTTCATTATTCAATCTGTTTTTGTTTTCATAGTTAACAACAAAGAAACTAATAAGTTCTGAAGATAATAATTTCTACATAAACTGGAGTTTTATCCCAATACTAAACCGTTATG